CTTTGTGCTGGCAAATAAAGAGTGCTTAAAGGACCGCTTGTGGCTGTTGCTGTAATACACTGTGAAAACAGCTTGATCTGTTTGGATGTACTTGACGTGAATTTTTGTGTTTGATGGGTTCTGCAAATATAACCGTAGGTGAGGATGTGTGAAAGGCAATGTCAATGTTTGCTGGAAACATGGAACATCGATGTATGATGCCCTGTTTGTTCTGAATGTGTATGCTCTGATGTTCGTGTTCTAGAAAGTAATTTTCGTTGGTTTGGTTTGTAGATATTGGGATGGATATACTTGCCTTGTGCATTATCTTGCTGACTTGAAGGTGATAGGATTTTTGTGGGACGGTGTTGATGAGCTGGGGCTTATCAGATGGTCAGTATGTCCCTTATCAATGAATGACGAGCAGGCGAGCAGGTGTACTCAGGCATCTGTCACAAGTTTTTGAGCAAGCAAACCAGCCCACGTTCACATCGCACCTCAGCTGGATCAGATCCACTTGCAATGTACTACCATATGGTGCGGGCCAGATTGTTCATATTGAAAGTGGGAGTAATAAAGTTTACAGTGTTTTGGGGGCAGTTTTTCATGATCACGAAGGGACCCGATGTCACCCGCTCATTTTTTTTTGCAGCAATGCAGGTTGCGATGGTGTTCGGCCTCATTTTGGATGGTGGGGCTGTGATGTCTTGATAATATGCTTCATACCACCAATCTGCGATGCTCTGGTCTCGATCGTAGAATTGACAGAGCGGGGTGATAGTTTTCCAATCCATTAGCAATGTCAATTCGGCAAGGACATCTGGATTGAATACATTTGATTGTAGTGAAAGAGGCCTAATTGCAGTGACAATGTCTTCCAGGCTCTGTATGGCTTCGTAACTATGGATGACAGCACCAGATGCTATCCTGTTTGGCATTCATTTCAGTTTTTCGACACGCTGTGTTGGGTCAGCATTCGGACTCCCTTTTGATGGAACCTTAACATACCTTTTTACCAATTGTCCATGCAGGGTGTGTTCCGCTTTGAGTTTTTTCAGTATTGTTGCAGTGCCTTGACAAGGGTTGCGGCACAAGGTCTTGTCAATTTCAGCTAGGAGATCTGTTTCTGATGGTGTAGTGGTTTCTGTTGAATGCATGGTGTTTAAGGTTTACAACGCATTCATGGTGTACATTGATATATAAAGTACACCACAGATGAAGTCATACATATGTCATACAAAAATTCAGCATAGTCAGGTCGCAAGTATAAGTATCGGCATGTATTGGAATCTAAATTTCAACTGTGGTGTCTTCCACCGTGTGCTCTGGCCGGTGTAATAATGAAACACTCTGCAGCTTGAATTTGGCCACCCAGTTCACCCACTTATGGGCTTCGGCAGGAGCAGGTTTGGCAGATCCGTCTTTCTTTCTGTAACGGGTTACCCAGGCTTCAATAACGACCACATCTTGATTCTTGAGATTCGCTACAGGATATGTAGCCATCTTCCCTTGCCAGTGAATGTCTTGCGTGGGTCAAACACCTCGGTGAACGGGCGGACCTGTGGTTAGTAATACTGATCAGGCAAGAGCGGTCACCGAGTAGTAGAAAGGAACAGCTTGCGAGGGTGTTTTCACCTGGCACTCGTGTATTTTGCCAACGAGGAAACTGAATTGCGCTCCAGCTAGTTTCAGTGATATCTGAGACATGTTACATATTACATTTTATCACAGTAATTTATGACATGCACCTACCAAGCTGTGGGGTAGATCTCAAGGACAGCATCTTCCTTGCTATACCGGCTGCATCCACCGAAAATGGAACCACCGTTATCGCTACACGCTCAGAGGGTCCGCCTGTTTTGTCGAAGAACCATAAGCCTGAAACTTGTCCTGTCACCCATACCACAGCTGGATTGATGCCTCCTGCGTGGCAGAGGATGCTGCTCTTATCTGCAAATTTTGCTCGTACACCCCAATCAAGCCCTTGCTCAGGCATCTTGTCTAACACGTATGTGTGAGCTTTGGCATTGCTGTACATAGCGAGTTTGGTCACTTGGCTGCACATTTGGCGAGGTCAATGTGTGTTTATTGAGTAATTCTTTTCATACGTACTTCCGTGTAGCAGTATCCAGTTCGTTTAACATCTCCTGGTCCAAGACAACATTCCTGGCATAATTCATTCCGTATGAGCTGCTGCACAACAGTGACGTACACTTACATGTTGTCGCTAGGTCCATATTCCTGAGTAGTGCTTGCGTACTCTAAAGGTTGTGATGAGCTACAACAGCGTCAATATGTGCATACCACAATATATGAATAACACATACTCAAGCGTTAATTCACCATCCTCATTGTCATCGGCAATGATATTATTGCTGGATCTCGGTTTCTTCGGAGGAGATGGAGTTGGAGACTCGTCAACCACTTTACACTTGTTTTCGGATGGTGCCATAGTCAGTGTTCGTTTGATTGTGCGGTGTCCTTTCAATGTACAGTCTAGAGCTGTGTGGGGCAGAACAGCTTATATATTTTTCAAAGAGGTAAAAGTATAAAATAATTTTCAAAAGAAACTGGGGTCATGTATTTGCAATGGGGTGTATATTTTCAGGGGGTGGTTGCGTGATTGATCAAGCTGGAACCTCCTGTTTCATTACCAACAATCAAGTCCTCAGACACTTCCATTTGCTTGGATTCCTCAGCAGCTGATAAGAATGTTGGTCCAAACAGGACAATGCGTTGAACAGGCTTGTTCGGCATTTCAGTGTCTTGTTCTTGCCGTACAGATTTAGTCGGACAGAGCTATGTTGTTGTTAGCGGTGTTGATTTGCAGTCCAGGCTAAACAAGATAGGTACATACCTCATTCAACACCCTAACAGGTATGAGCTGCAGAACGTGGGTCAAGACCAGGTGGTATTTAAAGTACTTATGACCATTGTGGGCTTTCTTGTACGCTATTTGAAAGCTGATGCCAACATCTACGAAGTCGCCACAACTGATGGACAGTGGGTTGCAGGCCACTTAAAGACTGGTTTTCGAGATTTTTCCGATCTGTACTTTATCCAAGACACGCCAGCATTTTGCTACTGACATAGCAGCTGTGGAGCGATCATCGGTACAATCCTTTATTTCTTGTTGGTGCTCATTTTCATCAGTCACCTGTTCGCTTTTTTCATTAGCCAAGCAACGGGAGTGTAATGTGATACTTGCCTTTGTGAACACCCGGTGGCCAATGTACAGGTCCCCTTGATCCAGATCTTCTAGATTAACACTTGCTTTTTGGGACGTCAAGGTTGCATGAATGAGGCGTTGAATATTATTGATTGCCAACTGGGTTGATATCCAGGGTTGGTTGTTGCCTTTTGACGTCAAAGTGATATGATGCACGGCATTCGTGACACGTTCCAGATCACTAAGGCCTTAATTAGCAATATCCATGTTGATTGGAATGCATTCACCTGTTCCAGTTCCCGAAGTGAGACACATTGAATCTGCCGAGAAAACCCTGTACACGGATGGTAATAGGGTACAGAATATCTTCTTCTGAGTCTCTTGGTAACTTGTACAATACGAGGTATCATTTACGGCGCACAATATCATCCCCAGTGTAAGAGACATAGGCCCACTCACAGACACTGTCATATTCTGCCGGCATGTGCTGCCAATCTTGTAGTTCTTCAGCCCACAAAATTCTGCACACTTCCACAATCTTCGCAGGCCACTGGTTGCGTATTAAGTTGTGTTGCTCATCTGTGACAGTTGCGTTAGCAGAAAACCACCTGAGAGGGATCATGGTACCTTCTATGAAAGACATGGTGTGAGAGTCAAGTGAGTAGATGAGCAATGAAGTGGCAAGAGAGCTTTAAATACGGACGGCAATGGGGTAATGAGCTTAGCTAAAACAAAACCTTAGAAAATGAGGGTGGCCGGACTCTGCCGCACATCAGCACAGGGTACTTTTATTGCATTGACATCTTCAGCGCCATTATCAGAGATATGGCTCCCAAATTCTCTCCTGAAATTGTCTTGGAAATCCTTGCATATTGTGCACTACCAGAAATCTGGATATTTGCGTCAGCTTCGCGCAACAGGCGCACACTTGCCCGCTACACGATATACCGTTGAGTTGAGGCTGTAATGGGATTATTTTACCCAGATCCTTGCAAACTCTTGCAGTTGATGGATCAGTTCGAAGCTGTCATAGGTGGCATGATTCCCGCCGTTGTCTTCAATATGGCAGCTGTCAATATGGGCTGCAATATGGAGTTGTACATACCCATGGAGCACTTTGCGGTGTTTTTGAGGATGGTGTTAATGGGTAGCGATTATGAGATTGTGTATTTGAGTGAGCTTGGTTTTGAAGAGATCCTTACAAGTGGTGTATGCCGCATTGTCGAGTTGGGCAACAAATCACGAACCCTGTCACTCATGTCAGCGACTACTCCCCTTTCATCAGGACCGATTTTTTGTACTGCATCAACAGTCACAATGAACTATATTTTGAGCCATGGCTTTTTTTCGGTGTATCCCAACCTTCTGTGTATGCGTCACAGGTTAATCAATCCACTATCATTCCCTACTTCATTGTCGCCTTCTTCGGACATTGTGCAAGTCTTGGCGAGGACATAGCGCCAAGGATACACCATTCATGTCCACCCGCTGCTGTGGAATGCCCATACAGGCGCCTATGGTCAGTATCATTCATGCCCCCAGACGTCCAGGAACAGTCACAATTGTAGCTGTTTCAATAGTATTTGGATCAATAAGGATGTCAAAACCAAGCTCACAGCTGGATATGATGACGAGCTTACCATGGAGTGGCAACTTGGAGGATACCAATGTGATGGTCAACGTATGTACACTGAATCCTCCTTTGTCATAGAGTCCAGAGATTTGCAGGGACTTAGCAGTGTGTGAAACTAGGAATGGAAAGGGGAGAATCGGCACTTAGCTAGGGTAATGATAATGTCTGTGAAGTATGGGCTGAGTCGTTGGTGTTCATGTGAGGCATGTGTGAGCTGACACATGTTCGTCGTTTGGAACATCATGCATGTAGACGTGCAGGCACGTGATTGTGTTAGGTTCGTTGCAAATTCAAATGTCCAGACACGAGGCTTCAGGTAATGACTGGTATTATTTCAATCTTACTCCCATTGTGGTGCAGAATATACAGTTTCATCTTAGATGTTGTTTCATAAATACATCACATAATTTCCTGGCTATCTTTCTGTCATGCCGTCCAATTCACGAGCCCGCTATTTCCGTTCTTGCTTTCCTGATGCCTCCTCGCCCACCACTTCACTCACTGATACAGACAACATCATTGGGGAAACGAACCTGGCGTGATTGTGTGAGTTCTTCCCATTATTTTATTGAATGGAACATTGTCATTACCATTATTATGCATGTGTCTTCTTGAATTCCTGACAAGTTTGCCTGTCTAATTCTTTTAGACATTTGAATTCATCACAAAACTCTCCTGTTAGTCTTCTCAAAACCGTTTCTGGAGAAAACCAACGGGTTATAATGACACCGGCCAATGACTTTGCGCGGGAAAGCATCACATATGCACTTTGCAACATTTTGCAACCTGCCAGATCAATGATCACTTTCATCAGCAATTGGCCTTGGACTTTATAGTCCGTGAAGGCATATGCAGGCACGAGTGGCAACTGCACTTGCTTGATACGCAGTTGGAGGTCGAGATCCTTATCCTTGTAGAGGAAGTGAGAAGGTGATGGTACAATAGGTACAATTTCAGGTGGGAGGGAAGGACTTTGGACGTTAGAACCTGGAAGATGTACGTAGGTGCACTCTGCAATATGATAACCATCTTCTGAAAGGGTGTATTTTACAGATTGCAAGATGCCATGAAAGCCATTGACAATGTTTGCGTTTATGGCGACATTCTCTGTTACCATAACTCGCATGCCAGGTACCAAAGGTAATTTACCCAGTGCATCGTTTGATTGTGACGAGGAGGCCTTCCAGATAAGCAGTTGCAATGTGCGAGGCAGGGGCAGCCGTCGATGGGTGTCTTTTGAGTGGTACACATGGTACTCTTGGCTGGTGTCAGTTGCGTGTCTCCTGACAAGACGGTTATTGAAGTTGTCTCTGGTTTTCTTTGTGCAAACAATTATAGGCGCATCTTTAAATTCTTGTATGGTTGTTGTATCAATCTCATTATCCATGTTCAAGCAGCGGCTTTGCAGGGTTTTGAAGTCAGATGTGTTGTAGTTGATAGCAGATCCCATCTGCTCTGTAGACATTGGCTCATTGCCACACCAAGCTATACCTTCTCGGATTCGCATCAGCAGATTTGCAAAGCATGGATCCGTCGCAGCTTGCATGTTCTTCTTCAAGATCACAACTTTCTTGACCTGTCTCCAAAGAAAGGCTCCATGAAGAGCACTTTGTCCACGGTCCGTTTGAGCAGTTGCGGGACTGATTTGCTGAACGAGGCTGTGGGAGAACAATGACAACTCTTTTACAGGCCTCAGTTGCCCGAAGTCACCGGTGAAGATAACATTAACACCTCCAAATGGTTTGTGTACATTGTTATGATCCCATGCTCGACATTGGCTGATGCGCTGTGATATCTGGCTTAGTAGCTTTGCAGAAATCATAGATACTTTGTTGATGACAAGATACTTGGCGTCCAACCAGACCCTTTTGAGCTCCTTGCGTTTTGAGTGCCAATTGGACTGAGGGAGGCTGGTCAGCATGTGAATGGTGAAGCCATGGATAAGTACAGCCGCACATCCAGTTGGAGCACTGAGCAACAGCTTATGGTCGTCATTGCAGCGTTTCATGAACTGCACTATGGAATTAATCACATGGCTTTTGCCGGAACCACCGACGCCTGCAACATAAAGGAACAGCTGCTCTGTTGATTCCGACATGTGGTGTTCAGCAACAATTTGGACAGCATGCTCTTGTTCGGCATTACCGTGCAGGCCCATCTCCGTTATAACACGTTCAAGATGATGTATCTGCGACACTTCCTCTGTATCTGGTGAAGTCAAGTTTGGGTTGTTACGATCACTTTCCCTTTGTAATGCTGAAACTTCAATGCGGCTAGGAGCATTCACTGCACCATGACGAAACTGGGAGGGCGGAATATCATGGTCTACGAGCGCAGAAGTCCTCGGTCTGTTCCGGCTCCTGAGGACTTTCATCAAGTTTGCGTGCATTTCTATAACGGGCTTGTCATGATCGGTTATTGGCAAAGCATCTCCATACGTTGGGGGTCGAAAATTTGGTATACTGTCAAGGATGCCAGAGCGCTCCGCAGCGAAGATGACAGGATCAGCATCGCTGTTATCAGGGGAGCAATGTCCGCCTGTATTGTAATCACCAGGGTCATCTAACTGTCCTTCCATGTCCTCCAGTTCATCTGCAATTGCACCAAGGTTGGCTGCTGACCTTATGTCAGGTAACTGTTCATGTAATAAAGTTGTCTGTTGATGCCGTCTATCGTTCTCATGCCTGTCTCGCGCATTGCGACATTGATCCTCGACATGGATATTTTTGATAACATGTTGCAAGGTCGAGGGAAAATTGTGGGCGGCGTACATTTCCTCCCAAGACTGATTTATAGGATTTAAGTCCAGCGCAGTGAACCATGGCTTGAACAGGATAAGCATCGCACAGGACCATTCTTCCAGTTCAGATGCTCCGCTGTCAGGCCTCGGCAGTCTATGCCCCAGCAGGACAGGAATTATGGGAATGTCTCGCACTCTCAACAAGTGAGATTGAGCTTGCGGGTGTGAAGGCTGAAAGTAACCCCTATCATTTGCTCGACGGCCAGGACGTGGTAGATTTGTGTCTTGTAAGCCTGCAAGGCGTCAATTGTCGCTCTCCTTAGTTGTTTTGGTGGTTATCTCTGTGAACTCCCACAATGACATGGAGCAAAAAGGTTCTGTAGTAGGGTGTAATGTATAATCAAGGATGTCATTGGACATTGTTGCCTCACATTTGCCTCACCATCCCCAAACGTCAAGTTCAGCTCATCCAATAGATCTGAAATGTCCAGATTTTCCTCCTAGCAGGTCACCAAGATCAGCGCCACTTTCCTCCGCCTGTAAGTGATCATTAGCAGGGGGAACAGTTGGTTTGGGTCGATATTTACATCAATCTCTGTGTCAACAGGTGTGTTGTCGGTGTGGGTGCCGACAATGTTCGGTGATGCAGTAATCCACCTGTCAAAATTTTGCCATTTAAGAGACCAAAACGAATGACTGCAGTAATAATCCCCGCCCCCCACAAGGTAACTCATCACTTGTGTGTGGGAAACCTCTTGTCTGGCCATAATAGTGTTTATTGTTTTTGTGAATAGGCTTCTGTTCACTGCCAAGGACGAGCCCACGAGTCCTTCAAACTTCACATCATTTTGCCAAATAGCATACAACACAGCAGCGAGGCCAACATGGGTAGGCAGCTGAGATTTAGTGATATAGTCAGTCACATAATATACTAACGCTTTGGCTGGTTCCCCAGATCCAATAAATTTGATATCCATATTGCAGCAAAACAGGAAAAGGATGAGGTCATTGAAGTTGTTGATCCATGGGTGAAGACGCTTCAACAAGATGGATTGCGTTTCAGGATCAAGGTCAGTCATTGCTCGTGTAGAGCCGTTCATGCGTATGCGGCAGTTCTGATCTTCCTTCGGCTAACTAGGTTTCAGATGCTTCCAACAGGTATTGGTGTGCTTGTGCTAATTGCAATCAATGGCGAGTTGTCGCACAGTATCTTGAAAGGCTAATGTAAAGTCGTCATCTGTCATTTCGGCACAAATAGGACTCATGGTTAATCAAGGGTCAGGTTTGTGTGGGTCGCGGCGAGGTTTCCGCAATGGCGCAGCATCAGTATCTACAGCCAAGTGGGTGTCACCAGGTAAGTAGCAAAATATCAAGTTTTCTAGCCATTGAAACATTGATTGCTTGAATTCATCATGCGCAGTCATGCAATCATGGAGGACTTGCGGATTCAGATTGCCTTTCGTCCACAAGAGCATGTGACAATGCAACGTGCCACGTCCTTGCACTTTGACCATATCATAATGCACAATACAGTGCCCAAACAATCCAGGACCTCTTTGCCAACGGACCACAATATCAAGGAATGACTTAATCATAGTGTCAAAGAACTCAGCAGCGGGACCAGGGTTGTTTGCGACAAAAACGCCACGCTCAAACGCCAACAATCAGCTGTCAGACCTGCAATGACACCCAGTAGCGGATTGTACAAATTGGCAGGATTTAAAGTGACAAATAAAGTAGGGGTTCCAAATTTCTTAATAAGTGCACGAATCTCATTTTGCCTGCACAGTTTGTATCCGAAGCTCCCTTTCAGTTCCTTCGTGGCGAACTTCAATCGGTTTAACAGTTTTAATGCGCATTTCTGTTGCTGATTTGATGGTTTGGCACCAGGATCACGTTCCCAAGAAGATATCATATTAGTCAGTTCAGGTGCAAGAGACTTCATTTCCTGCACAATTGTATCACGCTCACAAGAGCTAACAGTGAACAATGTGTTCTTACTAACCTCCCTTTTCTGCAGAATGTTCCAACACACATATGCAAAGCGAGGATCTTTCTGGAACAGTGAGTCATGTTGTTTCAGCAAGTTCTGCACCTGCCTCTCAAATGATATTCGCTGATCAGGATGGCAATTCGGTTTGTTGAAGCCTCCTATTCCCCAGGGATCCAAGTGAGGAAATAGGTAACTCATTAATCCCGGGTCTCTGTCATTGATGAACTGGGAACCTGATTGCATTTTCAGAAAATTTCCGCTGTCAAGTACTCGTGATAATGACTGTGCTTTCATTAGCTTGTAGTCTTTAGGAGTATAGTCCCCCGCCGCATATCCAACAGTGTCCATTAGCAAAGTATCAAGGTGGGCATCACGTTGCAGAGCAGATTCAATATCTCTTTGATCAGTGTAATCAAAGGTGGCCGCAAGACTTCCATAGTCAGACTGTAAGTGACAAATCTCGACTGCTACAGGAACCGCCTCGTCAACATGTTGCGCACTCTCAGGATACAAGTCAGCAAGGTTGTCTGCGTTGAAAGACACACCAGCAATTTTATACCAAATGTTGTTTGCGACAAGGAAATTGATCAAGGTTTGTACACGTCGCTTTGACACAAGAACGGGCTTCAAAGATGCAACATTTTCTCTGGTAGGTTTCACTTTCCAACCAACGAACAAAGCACACATAGCGTCAGAAATCTCATGTTGAGAAGGAGGTAGCACTTGTCTCAGTTGCACAGAATCTTGGGGCATGACTGCAACATTGCCTTTGATGTATTTCTGAGACGTTGCGGGATTGGAACCAAATCCACCAGCATTTGTCTTGTAAGCAAAGAGATGGGACAGTTTGGTTGCGCAAGCCCGGGATACCATCATAGTATCATACAAAGTAGCAGTCTCCCAACATTGAGATACATTGATTGGTAATTCGGGTGTTCCATAGTACTGAAATTTGGCAATAACATTTAATGGTTGCTTTTCATCATGTACAAGATACCTCTTGCACGAATCACACACCCACATAAAACCAGGAGCATCCAGGTTTTCCAATGCTCTAGGATTTCATAAAGCACATTGATAAGCCTCAAAGTTATAAGTTGAGGGAACAGTTGGAAGTGGCAAGCACACATTCTGTAGTAATTGTAAACAAAAATCATTGGCATGGATGCAAGACAAAGCAGATCAAACACAGCTATGACTACACACAGCACAAGGGGAGCGAGCCTGAGCATCATAAGACAGTGTCTCTTGCCATTCAATGATGATGGATCGCCTCAACTCGGAGCCGGTGCAGGAGGAAAAAGGTCATCATCAGGTGCATCATCAACACGCGCACGTCTAGATTGCTGACGAGAACAAGTAGTGTTGTGCAAGTCATTTCGAAGCTGTTGGACAGTATCATCACCAGGGAGATTTTCGGTTCTGGGACAATGAAGTCTGAGATGCGAAAAATGATGTTCAACTTGCAAAGATTCAAACAACAAAAGGGCTGGCGGACATTGTGATGTACAAGTATGGGAACGTAGAGTCCTTAACATCCAAGCCTTCCTATTGTTCGCTGGCAGTCGTAAATGATGGGCTGCAGCCAGCATGCAAATGTCAACGACACGCAGAAAATCAAAGTTATCTAGAAAGGACACTAAATCTTCAAAGCGCACAACAATCAATTTACCTGTAGGCCAACAATCACGGGGATGTATAGGAGCATGATTATAGATATCAAGAAATTTGAAGGAACAATTCAGTAGGTAGGTGGTGATATATGAGTGACCATCATCTAAAGCATGTACAGGGACATCGGTGATAACTGCTGGCACAATAACAGAGGTAACATCAGATCCTGAAAACATGAAAAAGTTTTCGCAGAGTCAAGTATATCAAGTGCATTTCATTTCACAAATCAAAATCAATTAATCAACATGTAAAAACAAACATGATGTATGGGCCATCCAAAAAAGTGAGTGATGTTCGTGGCACAAGAGCGAGAAACACGTATGAAGATTGGAAGTAGGGATTTGAGTAGCAGGCAGAGTATCCGATGTGAAAGGAGCTTGATTGACAGGATCAGAAGAAATGAGATGTCCAACAGAAATCGACGAAGAAGATATGTTGGTGTCGGGAGCAGGGTAGGACTGTTGGTTGCCCATGACAAGAGGTGATGGTGCAGAGGGAGACAACGATGAAGACAAGATAAAGCGGAGAAAGAAAAAGCACAGCCTGTAATTTGGATGGAAATACAAATCGGGTATAAAGCCTCCTTGAAAGAAAAAAACTTCAATTGCAAAATGTAAACCTGGATCCTACGGGTTTAGGAAAAATCAGGGATAGTCCACCCTGCCTGTTGAATGAATGCAAGTATATCCTCAACTTTGTCGGCTGGCTTTCTTGGTGAGCACCTTGGGTTTTTTTGTGGGGTTTCAGACATTATAGGACTGGATCTTGAGTTTATTGGCCATGTAGTCTACATGAGGCCCTGGCTAAAATTCATACTGTACAGTTTACTCTATTCACTAACACCATTCCTGATAAATGCGGCCATGAGGCCTCCAAGCCTGATTGACAACCTGCCATTTTTGCCTTGTAGAATGTTTGCGGAGTAGCACCATTCGGGGCTGAACTGAGTTCTGCAGAGTGTTTTTGGAGGCCAATGCTGTGTTGTCAAAGTGTCAATACATGTGGCTATTGCTCCCAAAGGCAAGCTCCCCCCAAAAGGCCTTTCATTCGGAGCAGACCTTATTTAGCAAGATATCGACTGTTATGTCTTGAATTAGGTCAGCAACTAGAGACTAGTTACAGTTCACAATTTTCAGACCTTTAAATTTGATTCTCCTCTTTAACTTTCTTCTGTAGTTTTCACACACTGCCATGCGGCACTTCCCATTTTGTTCAAACTCCACCTTCTCACACTGCACTGCCTTTTCCTTATTTTAGCTACAAGTCTCTCACACAGTGGGGCTGGTCACACAGGCTGTACCCCATGACATCATCAGCCACTGCCTCCATCAACTGTACAGTACATATGCACAAACAACCTGTAGTAGTATATATACCCCAATAAATCTATTGTATACCCACAACAAACTCAGTCCTACCTAAGGGGTAACCACTTCCACTCATTATCTTTATAGCTTTGTCTGAGCTGTGCGCCATGTTAGATCCCTACACCTTATGCCAAACTAACGGAGATGTAAGTCTCAGAATCAAACAAGTAGTGTCAAGTATCGATATTAAGAGGTAATCAACAACTGAGGAAATGTATGTACATGAGTGTTGGTTTATATACGTTTTCTGAAGGTCAGCCATGAGGTGCTGACTGATGTTCTACGTCATAGTCTAGGCTTTTGTCAGGTGATTGTCACGTGACTAGATATAACTAACTACTTGTTTACGTAATGAGTCATGTGATAGTAATATCATGTGACTATAATAAATAAGATTTTGAGATTAGATAAGGTTTGATTTGAATCGTGACATGCCAGAGTATCAAATCTTTGGTTGTTACATTAGGACTCGCTCTCTCTATTCTCTCACACTTTGTGCAAAACCGGTCCCCAGGGTTAAGGGGTTAATTGTTCTGAAATATCCTGTATAGAAGAAGGGTGCACTCCTAGCAACGGCCCTGTAGTGCTCAAGGAAAAAGGACAATTATCTACACACGGCCCCCAGTGTTAAGGGGAGTACCTTAGCTCACCAGTTGGTGTGGAACCACTGTTGATTAGTTTTAGAATACCAAATTTCTTCTTCAAATACCTTTGACCAGGCTGGGCACTTGCCTCTGCCAGTCTGGAGAAGGGTTGACAGCTTAACAAGTGGACCACCCCATGACAACCGTTTGGACCAGGGTTGATTACGTTTACCTTTTATATACATTTCAAATACTATAGTGTGGGTAGTTGGAGATTGAGATCCGATACTCAGCTGGGAAGAGGTGGATTCGCAGATAGCAAGCGGGGACCCCCAGTTACCTTTTTTTTTACATTACCAAGGAGAACAAGCCAATATGTCATTGCAACCGGATACAAACAGTCTGCTGCACAACATGCATGCACAGATTCAGGCGTTGACAAATCAGCTCGCCGAGATTCAGGCTGCCCCAGCAGCGGAACCTATGGTTGAGCAAAAGTTCAACAAGAAAGTCGAGATTGTCGCTGACCCCGGTGCTTTCAAAGGAGACAGAGCTCAACTTGCCGAATGGTGGATCAAGCTACAAATTTGGATCAAGGCAAATTGGGACGCATTTGCCAACAATTTTGAGATAGCAACCGCTGTGCTGTCTCGACTGAAAGGACCTGTGGCGGGTTGATACACCCAAGTAAGACTTCAGGAGTGCTACACGGCAGGTGTGTGGCCTATCTGGGACAATCTCAAGGTTGAGATCAAAAAATATTTTAAACTGCAGGCTGAGCGTGACTGGGTGCGTCAGCAGATCCGTTCCTTCAAACAAGGAAACATGAGGATGGATAATTACATCACCCAGTTCCTGGCCCTCTCCATCCAAGGAGGGCTTGGTAATGAACATGCAGTAGAGCTGCTGGAACGCAATGTGAACCCCCGCATTGTAGAACAGATCTATCTGCAGGACACCTGAAGCGACAACCTGGCCCTGGCGGCTGAGGAAGTTCACTGAGTCGGTAGAGCCATGGAGCTCTATGTGATGCATCAAGGTGGCAGGCCCACCACCAAAAACAATTAATCCCAGAAGTGCCCTGGGTCATTAAACCACCATAACCACTGTTACGATACACAATTTTCGGACCTTTAATTTTCATTCTCCTCTTTAACTTTCTACTGAAGTTTTCACACACTGTGTCATGCAGCACTTTCCCGTTGTTCAAACTCCACCTTCTCGTGCTGCGCTGCCTTTCTTCTGATTTTAGCTACAAGTCTCTCACACAGTGGAGCTGGTCACACGGGCTGCACCCTCTGACATCATCAGCCACTGCTTTTATCAACTGTACAGTACATAAGTACAAACACTCTGTATTAGTATATATACCCCAATAGATCCAGGAGACTCCTCAGCGAGTCCTCCTGTTGTTTACCCACAACTAACTTGGTCCTATCTCAAGGGGTAACCACTCCCTTTCATTACTCCTTTGCTTGTCTGAGTTGTGTGCCAGAGTAACTAACTCTAGGATGTTACAATCACTCTCATGGGTTCAAGCCATTTGGGCTGCAACCAGGGCAGGGAGCCCCTATAGATATCGGTGCGGTCCAGGGCGAACAGATGTGCAGATTCAAAGGGAACTGCTACAATTGCGGCGAAGAAGGACACATGTCCTGAGACTGCAGAAACGGAGTGCAGGCCGCTCAACAAAAAAATAACCAAGGGCGCCAGGCGCACCAATCAGAAACAGACAAACCGGACGATCGGCTCAACACTCTGGCCGGTCAATCATATGACAAAATCCGAGCCTTCTTCTACGATCAGCAGGCTGCTGAGATGAAGGCTCAGGGAAAAGAGTTTGGAGCTTAGGTCACTTGGGTGCCTTCACTCCTAGGAACAATGAAGTAAATCACAACAAGGTGGCCCCTGCTCCGGGGTGTTGCACGAGCAATAAAGGAAAGATGGGGGTGGCTCCCCAATTTGTAAACAGATTTCTAAATTTGTTATCTGAAGTTTGTACTTGTATAAAGCATTGTGACTGTAATATTTATGATACTACCGCTGCAACAGTGTCTCACTTGGAGTGTGGCCCCGGCGAGACAAACACTAGGGTGCTTGATTCTGGTAAAAGTAAAAATAAAAATATAGAAAATACTAAAGGAGAAAAACATGTTTCTTTTGATTCCTTTTCCTCTTCTTTGGAGCCACCTTTTACCAAAATCCCAAGGCGTGTGTTGATGCGCACATATTTATTCCAAAAGGAGATCGGTTTAGACATTGGTGTGGAAAACCTGGCCCAGGGCATAGTACACCCAACCAGTGCACTGCTTGATTCAGGTGCTAACAGAATCTTCATAGATTAGGTCTGGGTGGAGCAAATTGGACTCCCCCTTGTAAAATTAGACGTATCTATTCCCGTCTATAACGTTGACAGTACACTTAATGCGGGTGGCTGTATCACACACAAATGTTCTTTTGTTGTCAAATATCAAGGACACAGAGAATGAATCACCGCCAAAGCTACCCAACTAGGGAAGATTAATTTAATCTTGGGCTGGACCTGGCTATTTAAACACAATCCTGAGATTGACTGGCAGACAGGGGTTGTCACATTGTCACATTGTCCTCAGGAGTGTGATGACTTGGGTCAACAGAGTCACGTCCGTCAAACAGAGCAGGATGAAAGGATAAAATGCTGGTGATATGCCAAGCTCCGATCTTTAGATAAGATTGATGATGACAATGACGAGGTAAAACCAGAAGAAGAGAATTAAGAGGCTGGTACCTCCCGGGTACCATGACTTCTGGAAAGTCTTTTCTAAACATAAGTCAGAGCACTTCCCAGAGGCTAAGCCTTGGGATCATGCGGTAGATTTGAAGGAAACCTTCAAACCAAGGAAAGGACACATGATTACCCTCTCTGCTCCAGAAAGAGAAGAGGTCTCAAGCTTCATAGATGAGTGGCTTAGGAAGGGATACATCAGACCTTCCAAAAGCCCTATGACGTCCCCGGTGTTCTTCATTCCTAAAAAGGATGGTAAGAAGTGTATGATTATGGACTATCATTACGTGAATGAGCACACGGTTAAAAATGCATATCCGCTGCCTTTGATCAGCCAGCTAGTAGACAAGTTGGCTGGTGCCAAAACCTTGACAAAAATGGATCTCAGATGGGGGTACAATAATGTATGAATCAAAGAAGAAGATGCTTGGAAGGCTGCATTCACGTGCCACCGAGGATCCTTTGAACCCCTTGTTATGTTCTTTGGGTTGACTAATTCACTGGCGACTTTTCAGAGCATGATGAACGAGATCTTTTTGGATATGGAAAACTGTGTCGTCATTTACATTGACGATTTGTTAATATTTACAAAGTCGGACAATGAGGCTGAGCATGACAGGATTGTGCAAGAAGTCCTTCGACGCTTACAGGAACGGGACCTATTTGTCAAACCCGAAAAATATAATTTTAAAGTGAAGGAAGTAGACTTCCTCGGTATGATCATAGGCCAGAATGGAATCAGGATGAATCCTGAGAAAGTTCAAGCCATATTGGACTGGCCAGAACCTACTCGCGTCAAAGGAGTTAGGGCCTTCCTAGGCTTGGGTAATTTCTACCGAAGGTTTATTGAAAATTTCACAAAAATCATGAGACCGTTGAACAATCTCACTAAAAAGGACATTGTTTGGCATTGGGGCGCCAAAGAACAAGAAGCTTTTGATAAGCTTAAACAGGCATCTACAACAGCGCCTATATTAGCATTTCTGGAATTAGACAAAGAGTTCCGGGTAGAAACCAACTCTTCTGATTTTGCTACTGGGGCTGTTTTGTCAATTAAATGCCCTGACAATCTTTGGAGGCCTTGTGCCTATTTATCGCATAGTTTGTCGCCTACAGAGCGCAACTATCAAATTTATGACAAAGAGATGCTAGCCATCATTAGAGCTTTAGAGCACTGGCGGCACTACTTAGAAGGTGCTAGACACCACTTTGAAATTTGGACCGATCATAAGAATCTGGAGTATTTTATGACGGCCCGAGACTTGAACCGAAGACAGGCCCGCTACGCGGTATACTTGTCAAGGTTTAATTATAAATTAATTCATAAGCCTGGAAGCTCTATGGGGAAAGTGGACACTTTGTCCAGAAGAGAGGATCATGCCAACGGCATTGAGGATGACAACAAAGGTGTTACCCTGATAGACCAATCAAGGGTTGCCAATGTTAGAATTGGGCAGGATTCCGATCTTCTGGAAGTCTTCAAGAAAGACATCTCCTCAGAAGAGAAGGCGCGCCTTGATGGCAATGAAAACTATTTATGGGAAGACGGGCCCTTCCATTTTAAAGACAAAATCTATGTGCCTGAATCCGCAAGGATCAAGGCAATAGACAGACATCATGACACTCCAGTGGCTGGGCACCCTGGGTGGCAACAAACAATGGAGTTGATCTCCAGAAACTACATGTGGCCTGGCATGGTCAAAGACGTACAGGAATACCTAAAATCCTGTCTGAGATGTGCCATGGCTAAAAACTCTCATCAACCGCCGGCCGGAAAACTTATGCCAAATCCAATACCAACTAGTCCCTGGCAGGACATATCAGTGGATTTCACAACAGATCTACCCGAATCAAATGGGTATGATTCAGTAATGGTGGTAGTAGATCGTTTCTCCAAAGAAGTAGTATTCATTCCCACCAATAAAACTATTACTGCCGCTGGTACAGCAGACTTATTTAAAGATTTTGTATGGTCTATCCATGGGTTACTAGAAATGGTTATCTCCAATAGGGGACCCCAATTTGCTAGCAAATTTACAAAAGAACTTTGTCAGATGCTGAGCATTAAACCTAAATTATCAATGGCATTCGATCTGCAGACCGATGGACAAATAGAGAGACTCAACCAGGAGTTGAAACAGTATCTCCGGATATTTATAAATGACAGACAGACAGATTAGGCCAAGTGGCTAAAGATAGCCCAGTTCTCATATAATATCAAACAGTCATCAGCTACAGGAAAAGCACCATTTGAGATTACAAGGTTGTACTTCCCCAGAATGGGTGTAGAACCTGGCAAAAGCAAAAATGAGGCTGCTGGAAATATGGTCAAAGACATGAAGTCTGTGTTAGATGAAACGCACAAGGCACTATTTAAAACTGTAGAGCAGATGGAAGACAAGGCAGAGCGTAGACACTCTAAGGCCCCTAATTACAAGGTCAGCAACCTGGTTTGGTTGGATACTGACCACTTGAAATTAAATGATTAACAGTCTAGAAAACTGACCAAAAAGTGGATTGGTCCTCACCGGATTAAGGAAGTCAAACCTGTTACAATTTCATCTACACCTTTTATTTTATTTCTTTCATCTTATTTTTTTCTTATCTTTTACCTTTATCTTATCTTATCTTGCATTGCCACACAGACATTCTATCTTTAGATATTCTATCCCATTGGACTCTATTGTCTTATCAGCTATCTTTAGCTATTCCCCAAGGATTCTCCTATCGGCGCTTCTCTTAGATCATATGACCACCCTTTGATCTATCTTTAGCCATTTCTCCTAGGATTCTCCTTATAGCTCATCATATGACTATAAGCCCTTATTGCCATTGGTATCTATTTATATCTTACCTCATGGACACCTCATGGCAAACAGCCTTTATCGCTATTGGCCCATTATGTTACCTCTTTCGTATTTACCCGTTTACTGTTAACTAATCTACAAGCCTCCCCTGAAGTAGACTAACAGTATATATACTGCATGTATGTAGCATAGTTCTGCATCATGAATCTACCTCATTATACCCAGTAATGCCTTGCATGAGCTAGCTCCCATATTACCTCTAGAATTCCTGGCAGCTAGTGGAAGACCAACTCCTCTTCCCCAGAATGGCGCCATACATGCTTATCATCAGCAGGAAAGCGCAAGAACCCGATGCATGGGTCACACGGAGGTTTGTAACAAAACCTAATGTGGTGGAGCTAGAACTCCCAAAACAAATGAGGGTAGTACCAATGGCCAATATTAGCCGTGTAAAACCCTACAAAGGGCCAATTCCAGGACAGCGTGTAGACTGACCCAGACCGGTTGTAGTCACCCAGGAAGGTGAAGCAGAATTTGAAGCTGAACGGGTGGTGGACACATACTTGAAGCATGGAAAATTAGAGTTCCTAGTCTTATAGAAGGACTATGGAGAGCTGTCATATCCATACTGGAAGACAGAACCCCGGGATCTCTGAAGGAGACATTGCTCAAGTCCAAACCCCCCAAATCTTTGGTACTCTCAGGATTATGCTCCTTGTGTCCTGCTGGTTGGCATAACCCTGTGCTCTATCTCCATATGGTACTCCAGATATTCACCCTGATCCTCCTGCACCAGACTTCTAGTCCGCCATACATTTTTGTCATGATCCTATCATACAAATACTGATATCTCACCATACATCTCCAACAATCAAGTAGAACAATCATTTCTCCTTATTTAATCACTTGATCTTATCTATTATCTTATCTCATCACATGACCTTAAATCACATCATCACTTACCAAGCACCATGCCTTTATCTCATGTTCATCAGTTAGCACCTCAAGGCTGATGCATATCCATACATATATAAGTAGTTACATTTGCATGTACATACCCTAGCTTTTGATTTCACCTTCATACTATTGGGTTACCACTTGCTTGAGATTTATAACTTACACCTCTGTTAACTCAATATATGGTGTAGGTTGTTATAGTTTTCCTACACACATTTTTGTGCTCCTCATGGACTTTGTAATTTAAACCTTATAGTACACTCCTTGCACATACATTACCCATTTGCTAGATAATTTTCTGCATGGAACTCCATACTTACATTATAAGTTACTCCTTACAAGCTCCCATTCTTCTAGCAGTACACAAGTTGTAACTTCTGTACCCCGTTCCTGCAGTTTGAATATCAACTAGATTCCCTTGCCTTTTTACAAGTCCCTTTCTAAGTTTTCCAGTCCTTCCCTGAAGGGCCTTTACTCTGCTCCTCTTGCATCCTCCACTCTCATCTGTTCATTTCCAACAAGTTAGGGACCAAGGTCTGTGGAAGGACCTAGTGCACAAGCTAAGTCAATTCCCAACCTCATACTCCATTACTCTCTCCACTCCATCTTTGCACTCTGAAACTCTGTTACTCCAAAAGGTCACAGTTCTGACACAAGCTTGTAATGCTATTTTTTCCAAATCCAAAGTCAAAAATCCCCGTGTGTTGCACAGACCTTGTTCTGACATCTGCGTACCAATGTCAATAGCTACATGCTCCAGACAGAGGTACTTCATCACATTTATTGATGGATGCTCTCACCACCTGGTTGTAAAACTGCTGAAAACAAAGAACAAGGCCTTAGAATGCACCAAAGAGTACTTTGATTGAGCAGAAAACACAACGGGTTTATGAGCCAACCTATTCAGAAGCAACAGAGGAGGCAAATATGCATCAAAAGAATTTGAAATGTACCTGAAGTTAAAAGGTATACATCACAAAAGAATAAACACATATATGCCCCAAGAGAACGGTGTAGCAGAATGTATGAACCGCACTGTTATGAAGATGGCATGTAGTATGCTTGATGGAGCTAATCTACCAAAGACTTATTGGGGATATGCTACATTGCACACAGCGTACATCATAAATTGAGTGCCCACATATGCTCTGCAGGAGCATAAGACTCCACACAAAGCTTACACTGGGAATATTCCCTCAGTGTTACATTTACAAATGTTTGGCTCCAAAGCTTTTGTCAATGTACCTGAAGAAAAATGCATAAAACTCAATGCAAAAATGTTAGAGTGCACTTACCTTGGGTATGCCAAATATAGACATGCATGCTTCATCTGGACACATAGTTAAATCCAGAGACATGGTATTTGACAGGGGAGACCATAATGGCCCCAACTGTGTGCTGCTGCAAGACAAAACCGAAAGTCAAATGTCAAAGGAAACAAGTGCACACCTACCTGAGATACATCCAAATTTATCTGATGAAACCAAAGACAGTGACATAGAACACAAAGTCAAACTTGATAAAACACCTTTTAGTGCAGATTGAGCTGCTGATCTTAATGATAAGCTTAGAATAGAATTTAAAGTACCTAAAAAGGAATGAAACAATCAGTTCCAGGTCACCAGAGCAAACCATACACCCACTTCATACAGCAGACCCCCACTGAAGTCAAAATCAAATGTCTAAACGACTCTCATCAGAGTTAACCAGTCTGTTACGATAACACAATTTTCGGACCTTTCCCTTATTTTTATTTCTCCGCTTTAACCTTGTACTTTAGCCTTTACACATGGTGCCACGCAGCACTTCCCCTTTTGTCCAAACTCCTCTTTCTCGCGCCGCGTTGCCTTTTTTCTTATTTTAGACACAACTCTCTCACACAGTGGAGCTGGCCATGCGGGCTAGGCCCCATGACATCATCAGCCACTGTCTCTATCAGCTGTATAGTACACATGTACAAACAAACCTGTAGTAGTATAAATACCCCAATAGATCCAGGAAGGACTCAGCAAGTCCTCCTGTTGTTAACCAACAAACTCTCTGCAGCTCAAGGGGTAACCACTCCCCATTCACTACCCTTATAGTGTGTTCTTGTGTGCGCCAGAGTAACTAACTCTTGGTTGTTACACAGTCCCCCACCTCTTTATCCTCATCTTATCCCACCCTTTGGAAATTTGATGTTTGAATTGTATTCAAAAGGCCCCAGTCCTAGATGATGACTTGTGTTTCTTTGTAAACATGTACAAACCGACAACACTGGAAAATTTCAAAATAGAAAGGATGGGGGAGAAGCGGCAGAGAGAAGAAACAGAGGTAGAGGCACAAGGTGTCAGTGAGGCTGATAGCAAGCATGAGAAAAAGGACTTGCTGCACGTCAAACATGCGTATAGGGCATCAAATGTCTGCACCAATCCTACATCCTACAGTGAGGCCACAAATAGACCCAACAAAAGAAGAGATGTCAGTCTTCCACAAAGTAAACTTATATGACAAGGTAGACCAACCAAAAGGACAAAAAGTTATTGGCTCAAAATGGGTGTACTGTATCAAACAAGTAAATGATGAAATCCAAAAGTATAAGGCAAGAGTAGCAGCCAAGGGCTTCATGCAATTTGAAGGAATCAACTATAACAAAGCATTCACTCCTGTCATGAAATTTGCCTCAATCCTGGCTCTACTCACACTAGTCACCAGAGAAGACCTCAAAATACATCAAATAAACATTAAAGCCACCTACTTAAATGGAGATCTCAACAAAGAGGTCTACATGGAGAGTTCACCAGGATTCAACTTATCAAAAAACAGAGTCTGGAAACTCAAATGCTTTATCTATGGACTCAAACAAGCTGGAATGCAAAAATCAGGTCAAAATCCAAACATTTAAAATTCACTCACTGCAAGTCAGACCATGCAGTTTTCTACAAAAGAGATGGCAAAGTCACAATCATAGCAGCCATTGATGTTGACAACAAGCTTCTCTTTTCAAAAAATTTAAAGACCATCAAGCAACTCAAGACCAAGCTGAGTAGTACCTACAAAATGACTGATCTAGGAGATGCAGAGTGGATACTCAACATAGATCACTCAAGATTGCACAAAATGGACCATTGCCTTATCTCAACACCAATATGTTGTAGTTTGTGTATCTGTTACAAAGTGACACTAGGTAGTAGCTTCAGTAAATATAGGAATATGTATGTATGTCTAAACTTACCTCAGTCTCTTGTACAAGGACTGAGGTATCCAGAAAGCATGAATCAAGAATTTCTATAGTAGTTTAATGTCCAATAACTAAATAGGAAAGTGGCTCTCAGCCATTACTTCCAGTGGTGGTAGAGAGCAATAGTGCATGAGGCTCAAACCTTATTAACTTGGACAGATATGCGACAACACTCCCCCTTGAGCCTAGCACACTCCCAGCATCCCAATGAACTTTGATAATTTTGCTCTGGGCAACGCCTTTGTCATCAAGCCGGCCGGCATTTTGTTAGTGGGGCAGTATAGGACAATGGTTTGGCCTTTCTCAAAGGTGTCACGGATGTAGTGATGACAAATCTTGATATACTTCGTTTGAGCGTGGAATATGTTGTTTTTGGTGAGTGCTATTGTTCCTTGATTGTCCGTATATGTATATACTGTGTTGGGCCTTCAGGAGCACTTCTGGAGATGTCAGCCATGAATCCTCTTAGCCAGACAGTTTCCTTAGCGGCATTGGTGAGTCCAAC